GCATTTAGGCGATTCAAGAGTGATTTCGTTCATTTAGGTTTTGACATTCTCATAAAAAATATTCATACTCGTTGGAACCCAATACATCAGTAGTATTGCAAAATTTTTCTTAATTCATTTGACAAAACATCTATTTTATACAAACACTTAAAATATTCTGACCAAACATATAGTCAAACTTCATGATTGTATGATATTTATGAGGTATTTCTACTAACAGTTTGTAACACCCCGCTTATCAGAGTAAATTTTTCGCAACTTTTACTTCGAAAATACTCATATCTCTTTCGAAATCTTTTGCGACTAGTTCGGGATGCTACTCAACCTTACATCTTGAAAATCCATTCATCTTTAAACTCTTGTCTAATAACTCTTTTAGACATAATTAAATAGATTTTCTTTAAACTTGCATTTAACCATATTCATACTTCTCTAAATGTTAAAAAACTTCAAATCATAACTTCATTTAAAAATGCAAGTTCAATCATCATATTGCGTAGCGGATAAATAAATCAAAGTATACTTTTAGAACGTAGTTAATTATACAGACTGGTTTAAATGTCCGTATCAAAGCTTGTCTTCATCTGAATCCACGATCCACACCAACACTGCTCCACTCACACCTCCTCTTCAACCTGTTACCTGAAACTAAAACTCATGGGGGTGAGTAACGATAAAGATCATCATATACCGATATCTGATCGGTAACCAGAAATCTATTCTGGTACATAAACTCAAACTTTTCTCTTTCTCTTCTTGATTAAGTACATGTGCACACTCTAATGGATATTTCTCAAGGCAACTCAACGGCCTCCATTAGAACTTAGGAAATACTCGTAAGGCAACTCAGCAGCCTTCTTCCCAAGCGTATAATCAATACTTAGGATATACTCCGAGACAACTCATGGTCTCCTCATCCCATCTCTATCGATATCGTACTCAATGTGATACCCGTTCAGGGTCCCTACCTTTTTGTCTTTGAGATCATTTGTAAATCGATAAGTGCTGTGCTGTAACGAAATCTGCAAGTTACATCAAATATAAACAAATATACTAAGTACTATGCTCATATACTCAATAAGATTTTAGGATTCTTAACTCATCCAATCTTATAGAAATTCATCAACATGCTCTTTCTCAAGTTAACTTTTCTTCAAGTTCAATTACTTAACCTTATAAATCATGTCTTCATAAACATCAATATGATATTAAACTTATCATATTTTAACTCAAATGTGAAAATAACTATACTTCACATTTATACTTGATTAAATATTTAAACATCATCATCATCAAGATATATAAATTCATCTTGATCTTTAACTCAATCAAGTACTTAATCCATCATACATCTCATCTCTTGATTTATCACTTTTCACTTAAATAACTCAAAAGTGAAATAAACTCAATTATAATCATCTTCCAAATCATCACTTTTAATCATAATATTAATATGTCATACTTAATACAATTTTTATAAAATTGTATACTCAACATATTAAATCAAACTTCATCAATTTGCTCATCACTCATATGAGAATAGATCATAAAAATCTCATTTTAACATCTTGATCATCTCATGAATATTCTTGCATATATATACTCATCTTCACATATATGCCATCTCATATTCATAACTCATTCATTTCTCATCTTTAAATTATGAAACTTAACAGTCATAATCTCAACTTCTAATTAGACATATCATCAAAATTTCATAATTTTAGCATGCATATACATCAAGTTATTTGAATTTAAAGTCATAGTGAACATAAACTTCATATTGCATGCCCATCTTCAAAAATTCATAACTTAAGTTATACTATACCAAATAACTTAATTCTTGTTCTCATGTACTCTTCTCTTACATAAGAATTACTCATCTAAATCATACTTTTCCAGCATATTCATATCTTTATGAAAATCTCATGCAAATCAACATCTTATTACATTAAGTACATATATCACATAATTGATCTTTAACATCTTTAACTCATTTTATCAATTATAAACTTCAACTTCTACATCATGATACACATACTCATAAACATGTAAACTTATCATAAAAGCATGAACTCAAATATGAAACATTAAGATAAGTAAATTACCTCCTTCTAAGTGAAGTTAAAAAAAATTGATTTCTTCACTCTAATGTCCTTATCTTCTTCAAAATTACTCCTTCTTACTCTCTCTCACAAACTCATATGACTTTAGTAATTATTTTGGTGTAAAAACTCTGAGGTTTAAGCCTCTATTTATAGGCATAAATTGGAGAAACATCCAAATAGAGTGATTAAATGATCATAATATAAAATTTAACTTCTAAACTTAAATAATCTTTAAAATATCTTATGATAAAGTTATTTATCCATCCAAAGCATATTTAAACATCAAAAATGGCCTTTGGTTAAAGTCACAATCGAATTCTCAATAATCCAATTGGACTGTCGGCAACACGACTCGTGTGAGGGAGTCACACGACTCGTGTGGCCTCACACGACTCGTGTGCCTGTGTCACACGACTCGTGTGGCTTGCCGACACTTTTACTCTTAATCATTCATCATCTCACACGACTCGTGTAGCTATGTCACACGACTCGTGTAGCCTCACACGACTCGTATGGCTCATCACACGACTCGTGTCAAAATCCCGAGGCTAACTTTCATCACTTCTTCATCCCACACGACTCGTGTGCCTCTCCACACGACTCGTGTGCCTCTCCACACGACTCGTGTGGCTCCACACGACTCGTGTGGCTTCACACGACTCGTGTGGCTTGTTCCTTGAAAAACTCTTAATTCCAGTCCAATAACTCACTATCTTGGACTCGAAATCACTTATTTCTTGGAACAATAACTCATAATAACTGATATAACTGAGAGGGATATTACACAGTTGATGAATATCTCTGTGAAATAACTAATCGTGTCATTAAAATTGATTGTATTTTTTATCATCTGATAAACTACTACATCTCTCTCTCTCTCTCTCTCTCTCTCTCTCTCTCTCCCCACCCCCCCTCCCATATAAACAGAGAGATGCGATGAGCCAAGCGCGTGCAGTTGGGGGACCCAAAAGTCTAATCTGCGACTGAATCCCGCCAAGTGAAACAAATTGGTACCTACCCCATGGAGACATCGCCCTACATTTCATCTCCAAATATAAGTTGATTTTCCAAAATATAGGTTACATGTACTTCTCTTGAAGCGCGAAATTATTTTTTAAATCATCACATTATATGAAAGAATGTACTCTAAAGTAGTTGCATATATGCTCGAGCACAATACACTAATGAGATTGTATATACTCTTATCAAAAACTGACAACTTCATTCAAACATTCAAAAATGTTTTGATCAGGCTCCGACATTCTCTTTTCAATGTTATTTATTTGGACGATAGACGAACTACATAATCTACGGTTTGCAAATCATTGACCATCTTGGTTGTTACAATAAATATAGAGTTGTTATCATAATATCTTTCACATTTGTCTGGATTTGCAATATTTATTTGCCTAACAAGTTTTTATTGCTTTTATTGTCCTAGTTTTTGCATCATACATGATGCTTCGAATTCTTCAACAATGAGAAGACAAAACAAAACAAAATAAAACAAAACAAAATAATGATACAATATTAAGAAACATATCATTTGTCAACATATTTGAGAGGAGAAAAGTTAGAATTCTATTATATTATAATATTCTTAGTCATCTGTGAATAGTAAAGCTGAATCGGGCGAATTATCAGGTCGAGTGGAGATTGAAGACCTTATTGGTCAAAAGATCCTCAAGTCGAAGATGACGTCAAGGGTATGAGGAGCATCGTCAGATCGAATTAGGACCTTCAGATGGCCTCATTCAAGTTTGACCAGAAGGTACATCTGGTCGAAGGATCGACTATCCAAGCAGAACATCAGAACTCGACATCAGTGGTATTCTACCTCGAGGTAATCTGGGTCGGTCGCACGATTATATCGTTTAATAAGGAACACTATAAAGATAAGAAAGAATATTTTGAGGATAAGAACCCCACAGGGACAAATCCACGTGGCCTAATAGAATTTGGCAGTTTGGGCAGTTCGTGTAGCTCGGGTAATACGAGCAGGCAGGCTAGGCAACCCATTCGGGCATACTTGGGAAACAAGGTATCATCTCCCGATATAAGAGAATGAGATACGCCCAACATTACATTACATCTACATACATACAACGTTTCATCTTCTTCACAATGCTAACTTAAACATTGGAGGCTGTTCACTGAAAAACTCCTCCGGTGTGAGAGTTTTTACAGGTCTCAAGGCGTTCAACCGACGAGGAGCTTGAAGTCAGGTCGAACCAGCTCGAAGTCTATGAGACTTTCATTCAAAAAACTATGAAACACCATAGCCCTGGCAGGTGAGAAT